AAGGGGGAAGGGGAAGGGGGATGGCTGTACCAACTGAGATCGGCTCGTCGAATGTGGATCCTTTTTTGTTTCGTTTTGTGGCAGGTTTCCTCTTTTTTTTTTTTTCTTCCCCTCCCCTCCTTTCCCCATAAGGCTATACAGGGTGCTCCTGCACCCATACTCCTCACCTGCCGATGAACCGATTGTTACTTGTTTTTTGCCCCTTGCCCCAGTGTGGTTTAGGGTGCTCGGTTCGGTTGGGGCTCTGCCGTTAATAGGGGTCCGACTAACACAAGGGCCTAGGGCATTTGCCAGTAGCTGCGTCTCCCTTTTAATCTCGCCTCCCCCCCCCACCACACACACACAATCGATTAACAGCAGTGTACTTTTTTTTTGGTCTCTTTCTCTTTGTTGTTTTGAGCCTCTTTCGTGTTCGTTTTTTTTTTTTGTGTTCCTCGATTTATGCGTGTCGTCATTGCGCAGTTGTTATGCTAATCTTCTCTGTATCCCGTTCCAATATGATCGACATGAACTCAATTATGATCAAATAGCCTTGGGACGGTTAACTTTTAATTCTTTTCAATTATAGTTAACGAATGCCCCGAAGGACAGTCGTTTTCCTTTTTTACCTTTTTAACTCTTTTTTTTTCCTTTTTGTTCCCTAGTTCTGCGCCGGGGCGAGGTGCCACGGTAGCAAAGAGGGTGGGATTCAACGCCGGCCTGAATGTGGACGTGTTTGTGAGGACGTGCAGAAAATAGCGATTGGGCCGCTCTTCTGCATGTCTTCTCTGTGTATATGACTAGTCGTCAATTCAGTTTGCTAGTGGGACCTTGCCCCTGGCCTCGTATTTATTTGGATTTTTTTGTTTTTTTCTCGTTTGCTTGTTGAAGTTAGTTAAACTAATCAGAACAAATACTTCGCTTTTAAGATTTTTTTTTTTTTTTTTTTTTTTTCCTGAACTGATTTTTATCCAGAAGGGAGGAGAAATCCCTTCATTGTGAGGTAGCTATGCTTGCAGGGGTATATCTATGCTGGAGGGGAGAAGAAATCCCTTCATTGTGAGTTGTGAGGTAGCTCCGCCTCTTTTCCTAGGAGTAGTGGTAGGTAGGTAGTGAAAGGCAAAAAGAATATGAGAGGAAAAATGTAGTGTAGTTTTTTTTTTTTTTTTTTTTTTTGAAGAAACGTATACATGGAGAATTATGTGATGTTATATTCTCCGTCGTCCCTGGCAACGGACGTGCGTGGTGCTGATGCGTTTCCCATTTTTTTTTTTTTTTTTTTTTTTTTTTTTCAAGGGGGACGGCCCTGAGTTATGATAATCAATATTGTAGTATTTTGTCCTTCGGGACATCCGTTAAATTTGGAACGATACAAAGAGAAAGAAGATTAGCATGGCCCCTGCGCAAGTAAGGATGACACGCATAAATCGAGAAGTGGTCGCCCCCCCAAAAGAAAACCAATTAAAAAATTTGTAGTATTTTAGTCATTTTAACTCATTTGACTTCCGTGGAGTTTGAACTCAGGGGGCAGGTCCCATTAGCACAGAGGATTGGATTAAGCTCTCCTGAATCTGGACGCGTTTTAAGCAGAGATGGAGAAAAGCAGTTCAATCTCGATTTTCAGCACCTTTCCACAAACACGTCCAGATTCAGGCATTCAATCCAATCCTCTTTGCTAGTGGGATCTCGCCCCGGGTCTGTATTTCAACAGTTCCGCGGTGTACCAACTGAGAGCTATCGTCTTCACCCGAATATAACGCCCGGTCATTATAGCCGTATTTGGGGCAATTTGCTGTCCAGATGCAGCGCCAATTACCGGGCGTTCTATTCGGATGAAGACCGTAGGGC